ATATGTCGTAAGCAAAAAAATCTGCTCAAGTATACATTACTTCACCTGAACCTAAATTACATGTCTGAGGCCCCGTCCACACGAAGCTGAACCCTGGCCTAAACGCACAAATTTTTCACCAAACCAGCCTCTCATCCATACGAAGCCGGCGTTTCGGGGTTCTGTAAACAATCTTTTTTTTATTCAGCCTTCAGAGTGGGAAGATTTTGAAACGCTGTTTTCGCGTTTCCATCTTTAAGCTCTAACCGCATTTTTTTTTATACACGCATGCGTCATAGCGTCGCCTCTAAACACGCATGCACGACACAGTATCACAACAACAATGGCGGCGTACTGTGTTGAATGGTTGCTGCTCATGCTACTCACCCTGCTGTCGGGCTTACAACAGAATCTTCTTCTTCTGGAATATCTCCAGGAAGAACAGAGCAATATCGACGACATAGTTCAGCACCTGAATTTGACTGAACCACGAAAATGGACCCGCAGGGCAACCATGTATAAATATTAGTGCGCATGCCCAACATTTCGTCGCCTATTTTTGCTTTGGCACCACAGCGCCACTTACAGGCCTGGCATACATTTTGCAGCGTTTTCATGCATTCATGTGGATGCTCACATTTATTTTACGTCTCCGTCTTTACGACAAACGTTCTGGAAAATATTAGCGTTTCGTGTTCGTTTTGACTTCGTGTGGACGGGGCCTGAATCTGATTATATTTAACCAAAACATGGTGCGTTCATTACATTGACAGCATGAGCTTTGAAAGTCATGTTTACTTGAACATAAGGTACTTGCATATCAGAGCCAGAGAGTGAGGCAGAATAGCAGACAGAGGTAGAGGTGGAGTGGGCTTAAAAAGTTGTTGCTTTAAAGGTGTCGAGCTGGGTAGTTGCTGACCAATCACGTTGTTATAACTAACAAAAAACACATGGGAATCACAATATGTACGGTATAGAGCTACTCTATTAAAATGTTTAGATGCACGATGTGCAGGGAAATCTCCACCGATATGGCACACAACTATACATTTTAGTACAGCACTAGCATTTACATTCTGTCTTGGCTAAATAAGCAGGGGTATTGTGAATTGTCTCCTTCTTTTAGCATCTCTGGATGGATACTAGAAAAGTTAGTATCTCACCTATCGAGAAGAAATACAGTGACCGTGGCAGCCTTCAGCCTTCGCCAGCGTTCCAATGCTTTTCCGATACATATTCTGGTCTTGGCTCTTTCTTCTTCAGCCTTCCTCTTGGCATCGGCAACTTCACATAATTTCCTTCCGCTGCTATCCAGGCAATATGGAAGACTGACCTAAGTGACTCGCAGACCAGTTAGGATTCGTTTATATGTCAAGGTCCACGCACAGGGGGAGGGACAACCAGACAACCATGATTGACGTGTCAGGAACTAATCGTGTACAATGGACTGTCTTTTGTGATTGGTTGGGGTTATTCATCGGTTTCTCACAGTAGCGGGGACCATTTATTTAAGTTTTACTTCCAGACCTTCTATTTCACTGTTTGCTAAGCAGCTGTGGGGAGATCTTCAAGCCACATGGTAAAAAATGCGTCAGAAAAGATCTTCTATAGTGGAAAGAAAGGAAGCCATCGTTTGAATTTAGCCTGAAGTTTTAAACTTTAAGTCTGAAATGGAAACGGCTAACGTGGAGGAATGAAGTCACCAGAGTATAGATGGCAGGTTATACTTCTACAACTGCACACATCAATTGTTGCCTGGGTCTGGTCGCGAACCAGTTTTGCTGGTATGCTTCTGCACCGTCTGTCTGGAATTTCTAGGGACACACAGCAGTTTCATCATCTTCTGACAGATGTGTCTGCTAGATGGCTCTAGAGTTGCTAGGCATCAAAGAGGAACAGGTTCCATTAATGGAGTTGGCAAAAAGACTGATTAAACTTTCGTCGTAGTTGTCCATTGTTCCTCGGTTTTTAAAAATGGCGTGCCCGGCACCGAATCAAGGAGGACGACCACACAGACATAGGCCTGTCACGATAACAAATTTTGCTGATCGATTAATTGCGATAAACTATAATATTGTTTGAAGACACTGATTTAATGGAAATTACCGTATTTTCACGACTATAAGGCGCACTTAAACGTCTTTTTTTTCCCTCAAAATGTGCGGTGCGCCCTTTGGTGCGGTGCGCCCTATGTGTGTTGTAACTGCGACTTTTGAGACCACCTCATTGAGGAGATGATGAAAGAGTGGCTGAATGTAAGGAGACCAGGTGTTTTTTTTCCACTCATCACCATCGCTGTTAATATGTGACTCCATGCGTGCCCATCTCACAGCTGATGTGAAAAACATGGGGAAACAAATTAACGCTGTGCTCGCTGTTCAACCGCTCGACATCGGTGTGAACCGGACCCAGCAGGTGCAGCAGAAGCAGCGAGTTTACATGCAAAGTCAATGGTTGACGCGCGTATAGGTGCAGCAAAAAGCGCGTTTTGAGCAGCAGCCGCAGCGCCTCGGGAGCGTCTAAGTATCTGACGCACCGCCAACACGCTGCTGCTGCTCGAGATGGAAAAATTGAAGTTTTGCTGCTGGACGCGCCGCATCAACCAATCAGAGAAGCTGATCTGGGAGCTGACAGCGAGACAGACACAGCGCTCTGATGACATTAACGCAAATGAAAAAGGCTGGAGATGATGAAAGCCAGGTGTATGTGAGGAGACCAGGTGCTTTTTTCCACGCATCACCATCGCTGCGTGCCCATCTCACAGCCGATGTGGAAAAAAAAAGGTGAATCAAATGGATGCTGTGCTCGCCGTTATCCCGGGGGTCTGACAAAGGAACTTCAACCGCTCGACATCGGTGTGAAGCGGCCGTTCATAGTAAGGCTGCGAGCGGCGTGGGAGCGATGGATGACAGACGGAGACCACAGTTTCAGGATAAGTGGAAGGCAGCGCTGGGCAAGTTACGCCACCGTTTGCGGATGGATTGTAGATGCTTGGACTAACGTGTCTGCTGGCTCTGTTGTTCAAGCTTTTGCAAAAGCCGGCATCATTTCTGAGGAGCCGCGCTGCACGGAAAGTGACTCTGACAGCGAAGAATGGGAAACTGGCATGTCTGATTTAGCGCAGCTGTTTAATTCAGAAACAGAGGAGGATGACTTTGATGGGTTTGATTAATACTTTGTAATAAATACATGAATAAAGCACAAACATACTCAGTTTTGCTCCCGCTCTATTTTTCTACCTGAAAACTTAATTCAACAGCAGCCTCTGGGCGGGTCTCCTCCTCTTCACCGCGGCGGCTGGCAGGTGTTTTTTCATCTAAATAATCTAAATCTTGCAGCTATATTTGCTGTGATCAGTGGGAATAAAGTAGTTTTAATATGTTTTTAAGTGAGAAAGGCCACCTGAAAACTTAATTGCAGTCAGTTCATCCAGATTATCTATTTCTGTCGGAGGCGCTCAGACCCCCACATACCAGCGGTGCACCGACAGCAGAAATCCATTCAACAGCGGCCTCACCGCGGTGGCTGGCAGGTGTTTTTCATCTAAATAATTTAAACTGCAGGCACCAGGATACCGGCAATAAAAGCGAACATATTCCGTCGGCAGGTTTCAGGATTTTAAGTTAATTTAGGAGTCATCACAGCTCTCTCATCTGCGATGTGTCTGTCTCACGGCCAGCTCGCAGGTTTGATTAATACTTTGTAATAAATACATGAATAAAGCACAGTCATACTCAGTTTTGGGCCCGCTGTATTTTTAAAATACGCAGTAGAGGTATTTAAAGGTAGTAGAGGACATGTACCTGTATATAAAAAATGCGCCCTATAGTCCGGTGCGCCTTATGTGTGTGTTAAATACAGAAATGGCACACATAACTGAGAGTGCGCCTTTTAGTACGGTGCGCCTTATGGTCGTGAAAATACGGTACGTAATAATGCATGCATTTTCCCGCCAAAGATAAACACACTTTATTTTCAACAGAACACTTAACACTAGAACTGGTTAACAAAATAAAATGAGAAATAAAAATCAAATGGACTCAGTCTCTGTTAACTTAAAATACACTTGAATAAAAACTAAACACAAGATAAAACCACAGTGAAAATAAAAACGTATATACAAAATATCACGTTGGTGATATGCATGTTTTCTGGGGAATTCATACTGTCTATCAAATGTCTGCAACATTTTTCAATATGCCAGCTTTTCAACAATATTAAATGGGAGCATCTCTTTAGCAATTAAATGAACTACGCTGTCTGTGAGCGCGCGCCACTTTGCGCCGTCCTTTTTGTATTCTGCCTGTCGATTAATTGCTTCAGTGATGGTGGACTGTCGCGAACTTGAAGACACAGACGGGGCACCGCTTGTACTTTTTGTCCCCAGCTGGAGAAACTTTGCTGGGCGGTTGTGCTTAAGGTGCGTGTGTAGGTTGGTTTTATTGCTGCTCTTAGTTGCTACTGTTTTATGACAAATCTGACATACTGGCTCGCATAGGTTCAACGGTTCGCCTCGGTCATTTGGTTTGAATCCGAAATACTCCAACACTGCGTAGTCGGGATTTCTTTGAGATGACGGTTGCAGAACATCTGCGCAGGGAGCGTGGGTGTGCACAGAGGCTATGCGTCAGAAGCATAAAGTGGCCTTAAATCAAACACTGTAAATCAGTCTACATATGCCTTAGTAAACATGGTGGTGGCTGCATCAGGGTTTGGGAATTCATTTTTTCAGGGAGGCTTATTGGACCTGATGGGCAGATGAATGAGGCTTAAAGTAAAAGATGTAGAGAAAAACAAGAATGCTTCTATAAGCCTCTGTATGTTCCATTCATTTTCTCTCTTTGCATATTCCTAGGACAGTAATCATCTAGTCACAGGAAGTGCTACCTCATCAAAGAGAGATGATATCTACCTTTTTAACAGTGCTCAGCAGCCTCCTCCCTCCAAAGTGCTGAATTGGATCTGAACCAGTAAATCCTTTCCTCTAACCATCTTCTCTCCCCCTCCCCTCTCTGCTGCAGGCTGACTTGACGGGGATCAGATGGAAGAAGTTTGTGTGGCAGGGCCCCACCTCTGCTCCCATCCTCTTCCCGGTGACGGAGGAGGACCCCATCCTGTGCAGCTTCAGCCGCTGCCTTAAGGCCGACGTGCTGAGCGTGTGGCGGCGCAGCCAGCGGCAGGGCTGGAGAGAGCTCTGGCTCTTCTGGTGGGGGGACGACCCCAACTTCGCTAATCTGATCCACCACGAGCTGGCAGGTAAGGAGCCTTTAGCGTCGATCCAGCTGTGCTGTTGGACCCTGTTTTAGTCTCTGTGCTTCAGAGGTTGCAGAGCACTGCCCGGGGTGGTAGTAGCTTTAATGAAACCGGGCAGTGTGGGGAAGAAAGAAGGTCTTTAAGAGAAAATAATCGACTCTGCTCCTACAAGAGCAAGAAAAAAAAGTCCTGTGGATATAAAATTCTCTCTCTTACCTGTGAGCCTCTGAGATTAACTCAAGGTTATGAAGCTATAAAGGAAGGATTGCTGTAAGAGATGAAGGAAAAACGCAGAGCTCAGAGCTTTTAAAAAGGAAACACTTGATTTGAAGATTTGTTATTGATTGAGTCATAGAAAATGATTGTCAGAAAGGCACCGGAGGGATGCCCTGTAATTGAGAGCAATAAGGACGTGTTGTTATCTGTGTGATTCCACCTTGCCTTTATCGCTCAGCCAACTGATAATCTGTCCAGTGCCAACATCTGCAGGGCATCCTCCGCTCCTCAGAGATGCCTGGGATTCTGCGCTTCACCTTTTCTTTCTTAGGCGTAGAGTCGAGGGTCGCTCGTCCTCAGAAGAGGCTCAGGTGGGCAGCCGCTGCTCGGGTGAGAAGTACAGTATGTGCAGGCATCCATGCAGAAAGGAGGCAGTTTACTTTTTTTTCCCTTTTAGAGTAAGAACAGTGTGGTTTGCAGTCTGTGACCCTCGTTCATTATCAGACTGTGCGCCTGAAGTGGACTCAGAATGGAAGCCGAAGGCTACGAATGGCAGCTCATTCAAGCCTGACGCCTGCTGGTAATAACCCGAAGCGGTTGGCTTAGGGCCTCTGATGGAGGGCGCTTCTTTTTAAGCAGCAGGGATGTTTTTTTTTTTTTTGGAGCATCTTTATTTGTTCTGAAAGAACATGAAACATATCTAAAGTGTTGAATGTAAATGAACGCTTGGTCTGACGTTGTAACCTCTGGAATGCTTTCAGTCTGCTCCCTTTGGAAGCAATCACAAATGCATCAGCTGCTTTGTGTTTGTTTGTTTGTTTGATTATTGACTGTTTCCTATACCCTACTTCTTATGTTTGAATGTTTAGGATTAAATCTGTGTATTCCTCCTGCTACCAGTGGTGCCACTGAGCCCAGGTCAAATCCAGAACAACCAACTTCTGTGTTTTGGTTCATTGTTGCCCCTTTAAAGCACCTGTTGTTAATTTCCTTCATATCAAAATATTTTACTCTAATTAACAACAAACTGACTGAATCGATACTTTGGAAGTTGATCTGACTTGGTATAATAATCTGATTTATTTGTCGAAAGATTTAAGGACTTTGTTTACTGCTGGTGCAGAGATGCCATGTATGATAATGTTAGCTCTCGGCGCTGCTCAATGCTAGCTGTCAGCAGAACCTTGTTCTGTTTGGTCAGCATTCCAGTGGCTAGTAGCTCTTTCAGCTCTGTATTTGAACATAAATATAATGTTTTTGAGTTTTATGTTTTTGTTTCATTTTTACCTTATGCTATATAGTGCGTAATCTAAAGCAAGAAACAACTAAAATGCAGATAAAAACTGCATCTGAGCATGCCTGGTGATGACGTCAGAGAAGCAGTTTAACAAAGTAAATGTTAAAAGCATCAAAATTGTCTCACAAAAGTTATAAAACATTTTTTACAGATGTGTATTAGAGTTTTTTTGGGAGTTAAGGATAGAATTAAGTCGTTTTAGTACCATAATTACATTATTTATAGACACCCGGATGAATATCTGGTCGGACATGCACAGAACGGATCGTGCTTCAGGGAGGGATCAGGTAGGGACATCCACCACCCTCACTGTAGGAGCCACGTTTGGTACGAATACACCTTAAATGTATAGTGGAGGAGGTTCTTTTTCTGGATGGATCATCTAAGTGGTCCTCCTAATAGGGGGTTTTCAGGTGACGTCACGCTCATGTGACTACTCAGCGCGTCCGCCATATTGGGTGGCAGCATTAGGCAGTATTGACAGTGAAAAATGGTGAAATCGTGTGTAATTGTTGGTTGCACGACCCGTGGAGGTGGAGATCAACGCTCTTTCTATCGCATACCAGCCGTAATCGTGAATCAATGTGAAAAAACAAAACAGCTATCTGAACAACGCCGTCACCTATGGCTGACACGGATATCCAGGTCCGATTTGGACGGTGTTAAGCTGGAACACGCCACAGTCTGCAGTGCTCACTTTGTCACAGGTAATTAACTGTCAAGCATTTAAAACATGTAAGAATATATTAATAATAGGGCTTGGGCGTCATGACGTATTACTTTCCGTGACGTCACTGAAAACCCCCTATTGTCACTCATTCTCATGATATGTTTACGCATGGCTGTCCTACGTGCTCGTCCCCATTTTCACTTACCGGTGAGAGTCTGACATAGTGAAAAAATTGCAAATCATCTTTAGGAAAGTAAGCTTGTATTATCAATGCAAACAGCAACTTTTAAACAGAGCGTGGAGGAGGAGAAATGGGCTTGAGCACGCTCTGGGATGCATTTAATAGGCGCTGTGCATGTGCAGGTCTTTTTTAAAAATTGTGAAAATCCTCCATCATACCTTTTAAGTTATGACCTAATTAGCGCCCATTTAGCTGTGCTCCATTAAGAAGCAGCAAACTTTGCTGTCCTCAGAAGGTGAGGACGTGATGCAAAGGTGGCGGGCATTATGCAGAACGGTATGCTTCCGTTACCGTCACCGGGTCGGGTTCGGTCGCTCCGTCCCCAGCAGCTGGGGTTCCCAGACCAGCCCTGGAGCTTGAGAGATTTGCAGAGAAAGGACATGTCGATGGGGTTGGAACTTCTCTTTACGTCCATTTCACCCACTGAACTATCGTTAATAATCTATGACAAAGTAAACTCGGTTTTGCATTCTGTCACCCCTTTAAGACGGTTTCCTTAAAGGAGCCAAGCCACTTTTACTCGTATAAAAACAAAAACCTCCAAACACCAATGCTCCTGTTAAAGTAAAGCGATATCCACCTATTGATTGTCCTGATACTGTTTATGGAGCCTAATACATCCCATTGTTCTGTATGCTTGTGAAAAGGCTGAAATCAGTGAACAACTCCCTAAGTATTTTTTTGTTTTTGTATCAAAACAAAATGTAAAACACAGAAATAAAACGATAAAATATCAAACAGGGCATCATTCTTTCAGAAAGTCTTTAAGCTACTGTAATAATTTGGATCGCTCTATATCATTGATGGAAAACATGGATTTGTGATACTTTACTATAAATAATGATCTAATATTTATGGAAGTACATGCAGCTTTGAAATAGTAATGCAGCATAAAGTGATATTACATTAATGATGGAACCGTATTTATTTAGCAGCCCTCGTTAGAATCACAGTATCCAAATGGGTTTAATATGAGACGTGATCGCTGAGCTAACAAGCAGAGGCAGTAAAAGTGAAGCAGCAATTATTTTACCACCTTTAGCTTCTAACTGGAAAAGGGAAGGCTTTCACATGGTGATTACTAAATACAGATGGAATGACGCCTCCAGCCAGTAACTGCTAGTTTGTTAACTATTACAATATTCAGGATGGTCTTATTTGTTTATTGAACTTATCGGCTCTGAGCCGACAGGATATGGAAGCACATATGTGCTTCATGCAGACACACAGCTTACTTAAAACCTTCCCAGTAAGAGATTTGAGCATACATAATGTGCTCTGAATGTAAAATAATATTTTATAAAGTTAATTTAGACATTTTTCACTGTCAGAAAAAAAGGTTGCACATTTAGTGGTGGGCCAACCAGTCACAGATCAAAACTGGTAAAGAGTGACATGAGTTTTATGGTCATCAGCTCGTCTATCAGCTTTGTTTTCTATTTGCTGTTCAGTGGCGGTTCTAGACCAAATGTACCAGGGGGCCAGGACGGGGCCAGTGTGTTTTCATTCGGGTACAAAAAAGCATGAAATAAAAAAACAGGGCAAGTGATACAAATATATTAGGGTAGCTGCATAAAGTGAAATTTCTATTCTGTCTTATTAGGTCAATATGGATTCAGAATTTTAAATATTTTTGACTGAATTTAAGTTAAAATTACCGTTTTCTATAAAATCTGAATTTGAACTCAAGAAAAATTGATAGATTCAGCTGTAAGAGTATTTTTCTTAATTTTTCAACAACAACAAAAATGTAGAAGATGAAAACTGGGATCCTATCTCATTACCACTGAAGGTATCACCTTAAATAATTAGTGAAACAGAATTTGTGAAGAAAAAAAAAGAAATAGATTTAAAGGAGCTATTAGTAACCATGTCTGTTCCAGCGTATATTAGGAATGGAACGGTTTATGAAAACCGTCCGAATCGTTCGGTTCGACCGTCTCTGTTCGGTTCGCGTGTGTTTCGTTTGGTTCGTGCGCTGCTCCTTTTTCTCATAGGTGAAGCGTTTACACTCCAGAGCAGAAGGTGGCGGTACTGCGACCAAAGCCAACCACCAGTAGTAAACAAGAAGAAGAAGAAGAAGAAGCAAAGCAGCGTAGCCGGGTGTAGCAGAAAAAATTCAGTTGTTGTGGAGAATTGTGTGGGTGTGGCGAGTGGGAAAGAACAGGAGTTGGAAGACGCGCCAGCAGCACTTTATAGGTCTGCTGTATGGGACCACTTTGCATTTAGAGTGACCTACGATGACGGCGGAAAGAAAGTTGTGGATAAAAACAGTGTGCAAGCATTGTGCAACACATTTTGTTTATGCTAACAGCAACATGACCAACATGTCATGCTAACCAAACCGTGGATTTTGTGAACCGTTCCACCCCTAGCGCATATCATCATTAGAATTTATTTGAGTATTATGTCTTCAGTACAGGAGCTATAACAGGGGCCAGGACATGATCTACAGGGGCACTGGCCCCCCGTTGGCCCCTGTCTAGAACCACCCATGGTACAGTTATTTTAAGGACTAATCCGAAGCATAGCAATCTCTGTGGAGATGGCCATTCCCAGATATCTGTGTTCAAAAGAAG